TAGGTGTATATAGAAAAAATGAGAGAAATTCAGAAGTTAGACGTGTCCGGTATAGTTATGCAGGGTGGGGCACAAATATGGTGACAAAGTAATTGGCAGTTCCATACATAGAGTTCGTAATGGAATACCGAGTATGTACGGCAAGGTATGGCCACACGCTTCTAAACATTTATTAAGGTTTCTCATCAAAAATAACCGCCCAAAAATTTCGCAATTCTCTTCAGGCGTACCTTACAAAAGCTGGCCCTTACCCTGCATGGAATTCTTCACAACTTCATCTCGTCCTTTTTGAATAGTAGCTACTAGCGGTGACGTAAGCCTTCTCCAAGATGCTAGATGCTATCTTGGATATAATTTGACTTAGGTTTTGACCCCCAACAGGCGAAAAGCAACTGAGATGAAGGAATCGCTGCCGTTTAGTTCGTTTACCGCTAGGAGGTTGCATTTAACCTTCATGGTCCCTGCTCTGCTAGTTTTTTTTTGAAACTCTTATTTAATAGTTCTAAGTTTTTCCGAATAAAAGCATGTTCGTCTTCGGAAAGTTTCAAAGGTTCTCCTCGTCGGTATACATACGGGCTCCTTCATAGCCTTCGTCCCAGGCTCTCGTTATTCTCAATCTGCTATCCTCTCCTATCGTAGGAGCTTGTGGTCGCGTTCATAGCTTATATTCAAGGCTTGCTATGCTGAGCTCTTCGCACCGTTTATACGAGTACTGTACAATCTGTAGCGAATTTCGTCATGGCGCTTTCTAAATCGCGGTAGCTACATTTTTGACAATATTCACAGTCACACTCTGGGTTCCGTAACCAATCGACCTCTGTAAAGGAGACCATTACTTCTACTGCAAATAAAAGTCGTATGACGCCATGGCTTTGCATACTTCTGATATGACAAATCTCGAAAAGGATCCATTTGGCAGCGCGGGAACTAGAAATCCCACTGGATCAGGATTAAGTGGAACCGCCCACCAAATAAATATCGTATTAATATTATATGTGCAAGAAAATGGCGGATCTGATGGTTCTGTCAGAAACAGTGCTCATGGTTGAGTGGTTGCGTCCGTTGAAGGTAAATCTTTTCACCAAACTTATGCCCCGTCCTGTACTGTTCCATCCGCGAGGTTTATATAATATTACGGGTACCCCCAGGAGGCCCGTCGCGCGGCAAGAAGGCAAAGTCAGCGGACGAGTCGCGCGCGTACTATAGGGATTTCGCGTCAAGTTAAATAGTGTCCCACTGCACGTCCTACATCGCACACCACGCGCTGCAACTCGTCCGCCGACTCTGCCTTGCGCGCGCGACGCG